AGGCAGTCCTACCTCTGCCCTGCCTAGGGCTTCCCCCCCCCCCACCAACCCCGTCACCCCCAGCCTCTGCAGGCTGTGCCACACTTGAGGGGCCCCAGCCAGGCACACAGGCAGGAAGCTCCAAGCTACCACCAAAACAAGCAGCCAGAGGAAAAGGGTGCAGGAGACACCCAGAGAAACTCCAAGATCACTGCCAAGATTCCCCAGCCTTGAACACAGCACCCTTGGCAAAGGGTATCTCCAGAAGGCTCCGGCAGAGATGGCCGTCTTCCCACAGTCGGTTCCACGGACTGTTCCAGACTCCTGTTCCCCACCGTTGCCACAGCCGGGCTCTGCAGGTAGGGGCAGCTGCCCTGGCAGGGCCTGGAGCCCAGACGCCAGTCACAACACTCGGGAGTCCACAGAGCCCTGGAGTATCGACCTGAAGCCCTGGGGCGGGCTTTGAGTCAGAATTCACAGGGCCCGCTCCCTGAGTCAGCAAGACCTCCACCCCTGCCGGTCCTCTGCATGCGAGGCCGGTGGCCAGCGTGCTGAGCACTTTTGGAGCAGTGCTGTGATTTGACTGTGTTGCCCAAAGCTCACCTGTTGGGACTTCAATCCCCCATGCAACCACGTTGAGAGATGGCACCTTTATTTTTGTTTAAGATTTATGTATTTATTGAAGAGGTAGAGCAACAAAAAAAAAGAGACAGAGAGAGAGTCTTCCCTAAATGGCTGCAATGGCCCGGTCTGGGCCAGTTTGAAGCCAGGAGCCAGGAACTCCATTCAGGTCTCCCACAGGTGTGGCACAGGTCCAAGCCCTTGGGCCATCTGCTGCTGCTTTCCTAGGTGCATTAGAAGGGAGCCGGATCAGGAGTGGAGCATCCAGGACATAGACCCATGCTCCTTATGGGATGCCAGTGTCATGGCAACTTAACCTGCTGCACCACAATGTGGGTTCCTGTCTTTACCATGGGGGTACGTCAGTGATCAAAGCAAGTTCACTCCCAGCCTCTCATTTACCCCCACCTTCTAGCTCACTCTCACCACAAGACATGCTGGTGCCCTCAGCCATGGTATGATACAGCACAGGGCCCTCACCAGATGCAGCCCAGGCCAGCCATCAGAAACTTCCCAACTTCCAGAACCATGAGCCAAAGAGATCCCTGTTGTTCACGAATGACACAGTCTGTGCTATTCCGTTATAGGAGAATCAGATTAAGTCGGTAAGAACTGCGCAGGGCAGAGGAGAGCTCATAGTAACAAATCCTGGGCTGGGGGTTTACACAGCTCGGGACCCCCACATGCTACATCACAGCGCCTGCGTCAAGTTCCCCTACCCCACTTCTGATCTCCCTGCTAACGTGTGCGCCCTGGGAGGCAACAGATGATAGCTCAAGTTCTTGAGTGCCTGCCACCACATAGGAGATCTGGATTGAGCCCTAGGATCCTGGCTTCAGCCTGACATATCCTTGGCTGCTGCAGGCATAAGGGAGCAAACCAGTGGGTGGGAGATCTCTCTCCTCTCTCTCTCTCTCCTCCCCCCGCCTCACTTTCAAATAAAATGAGAATGAATGAAGGGATAAACATTTTTTAAATCCTACATAATCATACTTAGGTGAGGTATTTCAAGCAGCCAAAATGCGGCCAGCACTATAGCACTGTGGGCTAAGCCACCACTTGCGACACTGGCATCCCATATGAGTGCCAGTTCGAGCCCCAGCTGCTCCATCTCCAATCCAGCTCCCTGTTGGTGCACCTGAGCTGGGAAGTCAGCAGAGAATAGCCCAAGTGCTCGAGTCCCTGTCGTCCATGTGGGAGACCTGGAAGAAGCTCCTGACTCCTGGCTTCAGCCTGGCCCAGGCCTGGCCGTTGTGGCCACTTTGGGAGTGGATCAGCAGATGGAAGATTTGTGTGTGTGTGTGTGTGTGTATCTGTCTGTCTCTCTTGGTCAGTCTGCCCTTCAAATATATAAATACTTTTAAGATCAATTAGTCAAGTTGTATTTATGAAATGCATGAAATTTGCATTCCTTGAATAAAAGGCTCGGGGGGGGGGGGGGGGGGAGTAATGAATTGACTAAACAGCCAAATTCACTGAATCAAGGAGAGGACTGAGGGAAGCAGGAAACGGAAAGTAACTAACGGACAGCAACAGGCTCCAGCCGAGCACAGGGAGAAGGCTCTGCAGAGCTTACACTCAACAAGACTCCTCCAAGTCTCCCCTGAGTGTTTCACCGGGCAGTTAGGATCCCCCTGCGCATGCCCACATCCCGCTCTGATTCCAGCCTCCTGCTAAAGCACAGCTCGGGAAGCACCAAGTGATGACTGAACCGGCTGGGTCCCGGACAGCTGCAGAGGAGACCTGGACTGAGCTCCCATCAGGCTCAGGCCTGGCCCAGCTCCAGCTGTGAGAGCACTCGGAGGGGCCGGCGCCGTGGTGCAGCGGCTTAAGCAGTTGCCGGCATCCCTTGTGGGTGCCAGTTCAAGTCCCGGCTGCTCCACTTCCAAGATCCAGCTCTCAGCTAATGTACCTGGGAAAGCAGCCAAGGATGGCCCAAATCTTTGTGCCCTTGCCACACACTTGGGAGACCTGGAAGAAGCTCCTGGCTCCTGGCTTCAGCCTGGCCTCGCACCAGTTGCTGTAGCCATTTGGGAGTAAACCAGCAGATGAAAGACCTCTCTCTCTCTCTCTCTCTCCCCCTCTCTCTGTAACTCTGCCTTTCAAATAAATAAATAAATCTTAAAAAAAAAATTTTTAGAAGAACACTTGGAAAGTGAGCCAATGGATAAGAGATATCCATCTGTTATTCTCTCTTTCTCTCTTCCTCTTTCCAATACATTAATTTTAAAAATAATGATAATGTGTTAGGGTAGGCCTCCTGGAAAGTGTTCTCAGACCCTAAAATTTAAAATAAATAAGTGGGACCAGCTCTGTGGCATAGTGGGTAAAGCCACCACCTGCAGTGCTGGCATCCCTTATGGGCGCCGGTTCAAGTCTCGGCTGCTCCACTTCCAATCCAGCTCTCTGCTATGGCCTGGGATAGCAGTAGAAGACGGCCCAAGTCTTTGGGCCCCTGCACCCACATGGGAGACCTGGAAGAAGCTCCTGGCTCCTGGCTTCAGATCAGCCCAGCTCTGGCTGTTGCGGCCAACTGGGGAGTGAAACAACAGATGGAAGACTCTCTCTGCCTCTCCCTCTCTCTGTGTGTAACTCTGACTTTCAAATAAATAAATAAATCTTAAAAAAAAAAAAAAAAAATAAGCACAAGTGAAGACAGGGAAGTAGAGCCAGGGCCCCAGAAGCCCAGCCTGCCTCACAAAGGCAGGCGGGGCCCTAGGAGAGCTGCCCTCATCTATATGCTAATTAGTCCGTGCAAGAATTACGGGGTTAATTAAGCGTCACCACCCTCCCTCCGTTTTATCTGGCCAGGACACTGAGGCGAGAGGAAGAAATCACAACCTCTGATCAAATTAGCTGTCCACCAGCGCTCCAGGCCTCTGCTCTCCACCGGGCGGGCTACGGAAAGCCAGCTCTGAGTTAATCATGTTTATTTCACAAGGCACCGGGGACTTGCAAAGTGATTAGGAATCAAAGGCAGGAGCCACCAGCCCCTAACCCTTCTGCTATCAACTTCCTTGGGGCAAAGGAGCTGCTTTATCGCTGCTGGACAGGGACCACAGAGGCCGCCCTAGGGCCCCAAGGGCAGTTAGCAGTGGGGCAGGAGGCTGCTGGAGGTGGAGGGTGGGCAATGCCAATGCGGGGTCTCTCCTGCTTTCCTGCACCTGCACCAACCCTTACTACTCTGCAAGGGGCCATGGCCTCTTTTATGTTTCTGCCCTTCCGGGTGGCCCCAAGTAGGTGATTTCAATTCTCTGAGCCTCAGGTTTCTGTTTGTCCAGTGGGGAGATGGCACTCACCCTGCAGAGTGAGGCTGGGGCACCGTGTGCAGAGCGTGAGCAGCCCTGGGAAGCTGGCTTTTGTCCCCTTTGTCCCCAGCTTCAATCCCTGTGACTGTGTGCAGAACCGTGAGGCTCAGAGCCACACCCCACCCCTCCTCGCCCCTGAAGTATTCCAGAGAACTCAGGGTGTGCCTGGCAGTCACCTGAACCTCCACAGCGAGCGTGCACTTGGCATGGGGCCCACACCCCTGCTTCCCTAAGGGACAGTGCCTGGCGCCCAGGAGGCAGCAGCAAGCACATGCTAAATGCACGCCCTGAAAAGGTGCAAGGCGGGGCCAGCGCTGTGGCACAGCAGGTTAACCTACACCTGCTGTGCTGACATCCCTTACGGGCATCAATTCAAGCCCCAGCTGCTCTGTTTCTGATCCAGCTCTAGCTGCTCCACTTTCAATCCAGCTCCTTGCTAATAGCCCGGGAAAGCAGCAGAGGGATGGCCCAAGTGCTTGGGCCCCTGCCACACATGTGGGAGACTCAGATGGAGTTCCTGGCTCCTGCCTTCAACCTAGCCCAGACCTGGCCATTAAGGCCATTTGGTGAGTGAACCAGTGGATGGAAGATGTCTCTCGGCCGGCGCCGCGGCTCACTAGGCTAATCCTCCACCTTGCGGCGCCAGCATCCCGGGTTCTAGTCCCTGTTGGGGCGCCGGATTCTGTCCCAGTTGCTCCTCTTCCAGGCCAGCTCTCTGCTGTGGCCCGGGAGTGCAGTGGAGGATGGCCCAAGTGCTTGGGCCCTGCACCCCCATGGGAGACCAGGAGGAGGCACCTGACTCCTGCTTTCGGATCGGCGCAGCTCCAGCCGTGGCAGCCATATGAGGGGTAACCCAATGGAAGGAAGACCTTTCTCTCTGTCTCTCTCTCTCACTGTCTAACTCTGTCAAATAAATAAATAGAAAAAGAGGAGGCTTAGAGGTCATTACCCCAGACTCACTAAATACAGTCATCACCACCACCCCGCATATACACAGTGACACATTTCAAGACCCCCAAAGGATGCCTGAAGCCACACATCATACTGAGAAGGTCTTATACACACTTACTATGATGAGGTTTAATTTATAAATAGGTACAGCACGGGATTAGCAACACTACCTTCAGTGGATCCTAGCAACCTCAGCATACAATATTTTTTCCTTCCTTAAAATGAGGACTTTCACTTCAGACACTTCCACTCTGCAGCTTCCCTTTGGCATAGCTGAAGCTGTGACTTCCCAGCATCACTGCTGTTCACCGCGGGGACGCTACACTAAGTCATGTGACGGTGGCATGTGCACAAGCCCTGGGATACCACGACAGTCCGTCAGATAGCAGCACAGCCACTAAGTGACTAACAGGCCACTGGTGGATACGCTGAACCCCCAGGGGTGAGCCATGTCCCAGGCAGGATGGAGCAGGATGGCCGGAGACTTCACTGTGCCACTCGGATGGTGCACGGCTCAGAACTCACGAACAGGGGGCACACGCTTGGCACAGCTGCGATGTCACCAGTTGGAATTCCTGCACCACATATGACAGCGCCTGCTTCAAGTCACAGCTCCTCCACTCCCAATCCAGCCTCCTGCTGAGAGACCACAGGCCAGTCGCTGAGTGCCTGCCCAACTTGAGCTCCAGTCTCCTGGTTTCAACCCGGTCCAGCCCTGCCTGTCGCAGGCACTTGAGAAATGAGCCAGCAGATGGAAGATCTCTTTCCGTCTGTCTCTTTGTCTCTCTGCTTTTCAGCTGAAATGAAAAATAAAAAAAGAAGCAGTTTCTGGGTGGGGAGACAGCTTCTGATTTATTTATTTCTCAAATTTTCCAGAGTGGATCACTCACACACATCAGCACCTCTCTCTCGCAATACTACTACAACAAATTAACATCTGCGGATTTTTACTATCTGGGTTTGACACTGAGCCCTGGCTCCTGCCCCCGGTAATGCACATCCTGGGAGGCAGCAGTGATGGACCAAGATTGGGTCCCTGCCCCTCACAGGGCAAACCCAGATTGCCGTCATGGCTCCAGCTTTGGCTCCGCCTAATTCTGGTCATGGCAAACATTTGGGCAGTGAACCAGTGAATGAGGGCTCTCTCCTCTCTCTCTCTCTCTCTGCTTTTCAAATAAATAGTTTTGGAAATTAAATAAGATGCATATCAACCCAGAAGGACCAAGAGAATGAGACAGGGGACAGCAGCAGACACAACGGGCAACCCACTTTGGAACCCAGAAAATGGGAGGAGAAACACGGATTCTGAGAGCCTGGGGCAGCTGTACTCAGCAGGGTGAGAGGCAGCGCCAAGAGGAAATGATTGCTGACCCCAGAACACCCATCAGTACCCAGGATAGAGGAGCCCAGCTCAGATCTGAGGGGCAGAAGGAAGCGGAAGAGGCCACACAAGGTATTATCCCAGCTGGGACAATTTGGGAGGGGCACCGTTAATAGCTGCCCCTCAGTATCCAGGGAAGAATGGTTTCCAGGAACCCCAGGTGCTTAAGGCCCTTATATGATGACACACAACCTGTGCACACCCTCCATACTCTTCAAACCATCTCTAGATTACTTATAATACCTACGATAGTGTCAGTGCTATGTAAATAGTTAATATACCATATTGTTTAGAGAGGAATGACAAGAAAAAAATATATGCATGCTCAGTCCAGATGTAAATGTCTTCCTAGCATTTTTAATCCATAGGCAGTTAAATCCATGGATGCAGAACCTTAGATTGGAGGAATAACTCTAACTAAACCACGACAGCAGACACAGCGTGGGATTGCCTGAGACAGGGGAACACCCTAGGGTCGGCCAAAAGTCTGCGATAATGACAGTAGAGGCTCAGAGACCCTAACTCCAGACTGGGATCTCCTTGCACATAGGAGAGTGGGAACAGGTGCAGTGTACACGCGGGAAGGAGGCAGAAGTCTGTCCTCAAAAGAACAGAGCCAGAGCCAGCTCTGTGGTACAGCGGGTTAACGCCCTGGCCTGAAGCGCCGGCATCCCATATGGGCGCCGGTTCTAGTCCCGGCTGCTCTACTTCCGATCCAGCTCTCTGCTGTGGCCTAGGGAAGCAGTAGAAGATAGCCCCAGTCCTTAGGCCCCTGCACTTGCGTGGGAGACCCAGAGGAAGCTTTTGGCTCCTGGCTTTGGATTGGTGCAGCTCTCACCGTTGCGGCCAACTGGGGAGTGAACCAGTAGATAAAAGACCTCTCTCTCTCTCTCTGCCTCCCCTTCTCTCTCTGTGTAACTCTGACTTTCAAATAAATAAATAAATCTTAAAAAAAAAAAAAAAAAACAGAGCCACAACCCTCAGTCCTCACCTGACCCATGCCCCGGGAGGCAATGTATGGGGCTGTTGTGCAAAAAACAGATCTCGGGCCTGGAGTCTGGGGTCCCCCAGTGAGAAAGCCCCATCACCACACATGCACTGTACAACAGGGCCCTGCCTCCACCCAAGGACACCCTACTCACTGCCAGCACTTCCTTCTTAACTATGAACAGGCAGGGGCGGCGCTGTGGCACAGAGGGTTAAAGCCCTGGCCTGAAGTACTGGCATCCCATATGGCCACCAGTTCGAGACCTGGCTGCTCCACTTCTGATCCAGCTCTCTGCTATGGCCCGGGAAAGCAGTACACCCACGTGGGAGACCTGGAAGAAGCTCCTGGCTCCTGACTTTGGATCTGCTCAGCTCCGGCCATCTGGGGAGTGAACCAGCAGATGGAAGACCTCTCTCTTAACTTTCAAATAAAAAGTCTCTCCATGTTTCAAATAAATAAAATAAATCTTTTTTTTTTAAAGCTATGAACAGGCAGTCTCGGCCAGCAAACATTTGAGGAGATCCTCCAACCCAGGAAAAGGAAACAGAAGCCAAGACAATCAGGGGTAATATATATATAAAATCTATCTAAATTATCAGAGAGGTACTGCACACAGAGAGCAGGGGTGGGGCTCTGTGGAAAGGAACAGATGCATGGTTTGCTCTCAGAAATTAAAATTACCATGCTGAAATGTGTATGGGGAAAAAAAGAAAGTGGAATAAAAATAGGCAAAGAGCAGAACAAGAGATGGAAACAAGGAAAGCCAAGGTGAAGGGGTGAATCAGAAGACTTGGCTATCTGACTAATAGGCAATCCAGGCAGAGAATGAAGGAGATGCGGGCGGGAGGAGAGATTAGAGAAATGCTATTAACCATTTTCTAGGTCAAGCCTTTCTGATTAAAATGGGGGCCCAGGAGTGGCCTGTGCTATGAGGGACAGACATCCTGCACCGAGGTGTACCTCATTCCAAGACTTCAGAATGGCTGGGAGAAACAGTAGCTTCCAGGGGTGGGAGAGAGAAAGACACAGGGAAAGCAAGGGGGATGGTCTTCCACTTATCAATCATGAAACTAGAAGCTGGGGGGTGTGCAAGACCTTCAATTCTATAGAAAAAAAAAAGTCTTTGTTGAATCAAGAATTCTGTACCTGGGGCCAGCATTGTAGCATAGCAGGTTAAGCCACCATCCGCAATACCAGCATTCCACGTGGGTGCCAGTTCAAGTCCTGGCTGCCCCACTTCCAATCCTTCTCCCAGCTAATGCTCCTGGGAAAGCAGCAGAGGATGGTCCAAGTCCTTGGGCCCCTGCACCCACATGGGAGACCCAGATGAAGCTCCTGGCTCCTGGCTTCAGAGCAGCTTAGCCTTGGCTGTTGCAGACATCTGGGGAGTGAACCAGTAGATGGAAGATCTCTATCTCTCTCTGCAACTCTGCCTTTCAAATAAATAAATAAATCTTAAAAAGAAAGCAAGAATCCTGTACCCAGTGGTCGAATGTTAGTGTGCTGGCTCTCAGCCTCCAGTCAGGTGGGACAATGAGAACTCCGCTTCCCAACCATGGTCACAGCTGGGGTCCCCCGTGTCCACTGGCTCTGGTGGAGGCAGCTTTCAGGAAGCTTCTAGAAGTCAATCCTCATCTAGAAGAGGCTCATTTTCCTTTAACAGGCCCCGAGGCCTTCGGCTGCTTCCACTGCACCGACAATGCTGGGGGCAGGGCTTCTTTCCAGAAGACTGAGGCTGGATGGGAGCCTGGAGGGTCCAACCTCCGGCGTCCAGAAATTCCAAGGACGCTGCTGGGGCAGGAACAACTCCAGACTCAGCCTCAGGAACACCGGAGGACCTCAGTTCTGTGTTGTTCTGAAAATAAGCCCCTGCCTTTTTTTTTTTTTTTTAAGATTTATTTATTTATTTGAGAGGTAGAGTTACAGACAGAGGGAGAGATAGAGAGGTCTTCCATCTGCTAGTTCACTCCCCAAATGGCTGCAACACAGATCCAAAGCCAGGAGCCAGGAGCTTCTTTCAGGTCTCCCACATGAGTGCAGGGGCCCAAGGACTTGGGACCATCCTCTACTGCTTTCTCACAGGCCACAGCAGAGAGCTGGATTGGAAGAGGAGAAGCCGAGACTCGAACCATTGCGCATATGGGATGCCGGCACCCAACGCAGAGGCTTAGCCTGCTGTGCCACAGCGCCGGCCTCACAATTGCTTCTTTATAGTCCTTCCAAAAGTTGTCCTGCATTGAAGGCTGCACTCTGCTGACCCAGGGCCTCCCGGGCAGCCTTTTCCAGCCCTAGCCTGCCAGCAGAGGCTGAGGACCAAGCACCCAGAGTGAAGGCTTCTGGCAAGCCCAGCCTTGCCTGCAGGGCACATGGAGACAGCCACTGCTGGAGCCACGGGGCATGAGCAGGTGCTCCCTGACTCCCCATCTAAGAGGATAAGATCCCCAACTGAGATGGCTGAATCCGTTACCCTACCACGCATCCCGGACAAGCAGCACAGAGCACAGCTCTGCATCAGCGACCAGCAGCTGCCGCTGCCCACCATGACCAGAGCGGATCCAACTACATCTCGCCAGCACAGGGAAAGACTCAAATTCCGAAGAGAAAGTACAATGTCCACTGAATTCCCATCGCTTTTGTGCCATTGCCAAGTCTGAAATTCTTCATCTACAGCCACTCAGCGTTCTTGCAGGTGTATATGTCACCTCCGCTCTGGGGCTCCCCCACCAGGCTGCGACCGGGACTTCACCGGAGGCGGAGCCAGGCGTCTGGCCAGGCTTCCTCCCCTCCCTATCCTGGGGTCCCCGCTCCCCAGTGTCGCTCCCCGTCTTCGTGGAGGAACGACACAGGACCCTGCGCTGTTCTTTTGTCTGCTCGGCCCTTCCCGGGTTTGCTGCTGGTTCTTCCCGGGTTGGCTACCTTCCCTTCCACCTCCGTGGAAGGGCGGTTCCCCCTGCCACATTCCCCACTTCCGCGGGGGAGCGGCACACCGCCGGCCGGCTCTCTCGGGGGCTACACAGGTGTTCCTCTTAGATGTTCCCCTTAGATGTTCCTGGTGCATGCCGTCTCTCTCCTCCTTTATAGTCCTCCTCCGCCAATCCCAACTCGGCTGCCCACACGCCGAGTACGCTGCTCTCCTCCAATCAGGAGTAGGTCCTACAGTTTATTGGTTGAACTGGAGGCAGCTGCGTAGAAGCTGTTTTCTCCTCTCCCAGCGCCATATTGTGGGAGAGCAGATGCATAGAATAAGTCTTAATTCCAGTAACTTAGTCTAGTCCAAGTTGCTCCCAGTTGCTCCCCACACCCAGGAGTATTTTCTTACTGAATCTCTTTCCCAGGATCTATTCTGGGGAACATATTCAGGTGTGCAAGGATCCTCCGATTCCCACCCCCACCCATGCACCTGCTCTTAGGAATCCACTGGGGGTTGTGAATCAGAACAGGAAGTCGGAGTCGTTGGGGAATCCCAAGGCTGCAGCGACTGGGGCCGCAGGCAGGAGGTGGGGGAAGGGTTTATCCAGGAAGCACAGGGGTGCTGCAGAAGAGGAGACTCATAGAAGGGCCATTTGACTCTTTGGAAAGTAATATTGATTCACATATAAATGATCTGGTGAGGCATTTAGGAAAAAAAAAAACAGATGGATGCATAGAAATCCAAATAACGGAGAAATGTGCACATAAGTCCAGGAAACATTATCATCATCTATTTCGCTGCGCAATAAGCCCGATTTACTGTCCTTCGGACATACCGACTACTTATGCTGTTAGAGGAGTACACTTGAGTAGGGAGAGGCAGAGGGGGAAGGGCCTAGGCAGGGGAGCGTGCAGCCGGCCAGGGCTCCCGCTTCCACTGCAGGCGATGGGCAGTGTTTAAACCTGAGTCATCAAAGGAACAGCCAACTCAGCACAGTGTTTAAATATGAGCTGTGAGCATTGCAAACGGAAATCCACTGGACTTCAGTGTGTCCCTTTAAACCTCATTGCTTGGCTTGCAAAGGGCTGACGCAGAGCTTCTGTGGGACACACATCCACACACACCCCGACGAGGCAAAAGAAAGGTGGGAGGGAAAAAAATGGAGACACAAAGGAAGCAGAGAGAGAGACGGGTGGTGGGGAGACGTGGCCTGAGCACATGAGGAAGCCCTTATTCACCCAGGGCCACAAGGGGCACACGGGGCCCAGCCCCACAACCAAGGAGGACTCAATGGCCACACAAACATGCAAGATCTTCCAGAGTTCATGGAAAATGCATTTGATGAAGAAACCATGCACGGAGTTCAGAAATATTTTTTTCGTGTCAAAATAAATTTACCTGTTAATACAATTATCCAGGAACTTTCTGAAGTGCCCTCAGATAAAGTGATCTAAAATCTCTCCAATCCTAAACTCCACCCACCATCAGCCTTTGCTGCCCACAGCTGCACACAATGGAGCCAGCCGTGGGAGTTGAGCATTGCTTTCCTCACTTGTCAAATGGAGGGTGTCTTGCCCAGGTCACACATGGCCCACAGCTCAGGCTGGGTTCCAGTGGCTGGCGTGTGGCCTTGGGTGGGGGCCAAAAGTCTCAGAACGTCCACTTCCTCAAGGACTAGATTACAAAAGTGCCCAGTGGTGCAGCAGGTTAAGCCACCGCCTGGGACATCGCATCCCATATTGGAGTGCTGGTTCAAGTCCCAGCCACTCTGCACTTTCAGTCCAGGTTCCTGCTAACGCAGCCTGGATGATGGCCCAAGTACTTGGGTCCCTGCCACCCACATAGGAGACCAGGATGGAGTTCCGCTGCAGACATTTGAGGAGTGAACCAGCAGATAGAAGGTCTCTCTGTGTCTTTCTTTCACCCCGCATTTCAAATCGATGAAAATTATTGAATAAAAAGCTCCCACTGTCCTTCGCAGTAACTCCCACCGATCTGGGCTGGCTGGCTTTCATGGATAGCATGAGGCAGATGCGACCTTGTACCAACACTGAGCCAGACACAGGAGACCTTGCAACTCCATTCTTGCTGCTCTTAGAACCTGCCATTGCCGTGGGAACAAACTCTGGTCAGCCTATTCGGGAGAGACATGGCCCAGTCCCCACCAAACCCCACCAACAGCCGGCACGCTTCCCTGCTTGGGAACCAAGCCACAGGCCCCCATCAGACAGCCCACTGACCACAGGCATTCGAGCAGGCCCGGTTGAGTAATCTGTCTCATCCAGACCAGAAGACCTGCCCAGAAGTACTGCAGGCTAACTGGATGGCGGTGGCTTTTCCAAATCCCTGAGTTTCGGGAACCTTTTGCTTCTGTGAGAAATGGTGCTGTTTAGAACTATCACTGGCCTTCCCCTCCACCTCCAACACATGAGTGCAGAAGACTTTTAGCAACTGATTTTCTTACCGAGAGCCTTGTTGGAGGAGGCCAAGGCGGCCAAAGATCAACCCGCAGCGACCCCCTAAAGCAGCCCCGGACTCGGAGCCGCACGGCTGCGTGGAGAAGCAACAAGCAATTCCGCATTGCAAGCAGCTCTGGCCAGCAAAGATTTAACCACCCTAATTGGCTTATTGATTTTGCAATCACATTTTAAGATGCACAATCTGCCACCACCTCCCTTAGCCATTAACAGCAGCCTCCCAGGGAAGTTTTATCTCCCCCATCTGTGGCCCAGACCCTGCGCCAGGAGGCGCCAGGCAGCCCTCCCTGACCTGATCATGCAGTTAGATTGGTGAGCACTAGCCTAACCCACCAGCCCCCCCTCCCCGCCCCAGACAGTGGCGGTGGATTCAACAACAGTACAGGGGCCCTGGGGCTCGGGACGCTGCCTCTGCAAATCACCCTTCACTCCACCACTGTGCTAAGCTCATCTGCTTCACCCTGATTCCCGCAGGAACTCCATGGGGGAGCACTGGGTTTGGAGTCGGAGCACACAGGCTGCACCTGTGCTTTCTAAGTCTGATGGAGACACAGACACTGGAGAATGGTGGTCACCCACCGTCTGTCAAAGCCCCAGAACCCTGCCAAGAAAGGAGGCTCAAACACTCCCCTCCGTGCAAGGTCCACCAGAGACTGCCTAGGCATCCTGGCTCTGTATCCCAGGCACCTGAGCTCAGCACAGCGAGCCTGTGATCCCCACTGCCCAAGAGGCCCCGCCCAGAATTGGATGCCTCTAGGGCTCACCGACTCCACGCAAACCTCCCCTTTATGGCTGAGCAAACAGCCGTTTGCAGAGGGGCCTTAGCTTGTCCCCCTGAGTGGCAGGGGCAGCACCCATGCAAATGCCAGACTGCCCGTGCGGTGCTCCCCCTAGCGGCAGGGCAGCCTCTGCTGCAGTTCTCAAGGCTCCCAAACAGTACTGGATCCCCGTGTAGGAGAGGAAGGGGATGTCCCAGGCTTTGCCCACTTGGGGTAGCAGAATGTGGAGGGCAGATATCCAGGTGTGCATCCACCTGGCTTCATAACCCAAGACCAGATGCTACTAACCAAGAGGCCCACTGGAATGGCATGGCGACACGCTAGCAAATGAGACATACAAAGTGTTGTCATATGTTAGAGCGACACCGTGAGGGGAGACAGCTTCTGGACCCCCATAGCCAGTCTGCCTGCCTCTTGCCTCAGCACCTCTGACCCTGTCCAGGCCCCTCTCAGCTCTCAGCCTGTGCTCAATCTATTCCATCTCAGAGGGTCTGGTCACGACTGCGCAAGCACCCAGCACTCACGTGCGAAATGGATTTCCTGAGGCCGTGCTTCTTCGCTTCCTACACCGTGCTCTGCACCCCCACGGGAACCACAGCTCCTTTGAGGTCCGAGGTGGGAAAAATCGGACTGGCCTGTGGAATCCCAGCACAAGGCCTTAGTTCCCGGTCGTCCAACAGCATCATGGGAGAAGGAGAGGTGGTCCCTCTGCCCAGCTCAGGGGGATTCACGCCTGTTCATACCACCTGTCCCATCCCACCACCACTGCAACCCACACCCCATTACCAACAAGGAAGCACTGAGCGAGGTGACCCAGAGAGCCTCATCCTGGAGCGCGTCTCTGCCTTCTCCCTTCTTCTGAGTGATTGACACCTGCAGGCCAGAGCACTGGGAGATCCCACGAGAGCCCAAGCACCAGTGTTGCTCAGATCCTTCTGCGGTCTCCCAGTACATAGCGTCTGCAGAAAAGAGAAAATGCCAGAATTCCATGACTCCTATGTAGCAAATAGGGCAAGGGGGAGGGGCGCTGGTCTGCACTCTCAAAAGTTCCAGGACAGCAGAAGGCAGGCTGCCTCCAAACGCCCTCCTGTGTAGACCCCCAGAGAAGCCCCCTGACCTGTGCAGACCGTGGCCCCTGCTCTGGAGCATTTACAAGCCAGTCCCAGGAGCAGCACCTGCTCACCAGCTCAGGAGGGGCTGCCCTGGGCTCATCCACTGTCCAGGCTGTGGGGACAACACTCACACCCTCTCTCTGGGTTACTGCGCCAAACTCAGCTCTGTCTCTCGCCTGGGGGGAGACACTTGCTGTTTTGGGGACAAGCCAAAGTGGACGGCTCTCTGCACAGGGCCCCCGACACTTCCTGGAAAGGGCTGTTGCACCTGCCACCCCCAGCAGGAGATCAAGGAAATGCTGTTTAAAATATGATTGCCCTGGTCAGTCACCGCGGCACAGCGGGGTTAAGCCAAAGCCATTCCATAAGGGCACCAGTTCAAGACCTGGCTGCTCCACTTCTGATCCAGCTCTCTGCTCATGAGCCTGGGAAAGCAGCGGGAGATGTTCCAAGTGCTTGGGTCCCTGTCACCCACATGGGAGACCCAGAAGAAGCTCCTGCCTTCAGACTGGCCATTTGCAGATAGAAAATCTCTCTCTCTCTCTCTCTCTCTCTCTCTGCCTCTCCCTCTATGAAACTCTGCCTTTCAAATAAATAAATAAATCTTAAATAAAGTAAACTCTGCTTGCCCTGGTCAGGCACCAAGGCACAGTGGCTTAAGTCACCACTTGGGATGCCCACATGCAGTATCCGAGTGCTAGCTCAAGTCCTGGCAACTCCACACTTCCCATCCAGTCTCCTGCCAATGTGCCTGGGTGGCAGCAGGGAATAGCCCAAGTACCTGGGTTCCTGCCACCCACGCAGGAGACGTGAAAGAAGTTTTGGGCTCCTAGCTTCAGCCTGGCCCAGCCCCAGCTGGTCACAAACATTTGGGGTGTGAACCAGCAGATAGAAGATCTCTCTGTCTCTTCACTTTCCTTCCAAAGAAACAAATAAATCTGCTTTAAAAATACAAAACGCGGCCGGCGCCGCAGCTCACTAGCCTAATCCTCCGCCTTGTGGCGCCGGCACACCGGGTTCTAGTCCCGGTCGGGGCGCTGGATTCTATCCCGGTTGCCCCTCTTCCAGGCCAGCTCTCTGCTGTGGCCCGGGAGTGCAGTGGAGGATGGCCCAAGTGCTTGGGCCCTGCACCCCGTGGGAGACCAGGAGAAGTACCTGGCTCCTGGCTTCGGAGCAACGCAGTGCGCCGGCCGCAGCGCGCTGGCCGCAGTGGCCATTGGAGGGTGAACCAACGGCAAAGGAAGACCTTTCTCTCTGTCTCTCTCTCTCTCACTGTCCACTCTGCCTGTCAAAAAAAAAAAAAAATACAAAACGCATGCCTGCATCAGGTAGACTACATTGACAGATAGAGCATATCTCATCTTAGAAAAGAAATGCATTCTCTGAAATAAGGAGGTGGCATTTTGAAGGACCATAGCTGGATTTCTATAAGCAAAGCTCGCTTTCCTGAACGCTGCAGTAATAGCAGTGGAGCCACAGGTCCACGTGAGTGAACCGCCCAGGAGGCGGGATTCAGGATCTGGGAAGCCTGAGTGAGATGACAGGCAGCCCTCGAGGACACGCCCCCCTTCCAGGACTGACAGGAAGCATCCAAAGTGAGCCAGCCCCAGAGCACACGGATTTGCCCAGAACATAGCCACCCCACCCCCACCATTACCACCTTGGACATGAGCCAGTATGGAATGGCTACCTCCATCGCTCCCCTTGTACCCTGGACTTGTCTCCTGCCTCCAAGCCACACTGCTGCCATGAGTGTAGTCTTTCCAAAAGTACAAATCTGAGCCTCGGCTTAAAATCCTGCAGAATAACCCCAGCCTGGTGTTCAAGTTCAAAGCCAATTTCATCCGGCCCCAGGGACCACCCCAAGCTCAACTCCCACCATTGTTCCCAACCCCAGGGACCCTAGGCTCCAAATATGGCAATACTGTGGTCAGTTTTGTGTTCCTACAGTGAAAAACCTGGAAATACCGCCTTCACGAAGAGAAAAAAGACATGAGGATTTGGGTTCTGGATGGCTGCAGTCCCAGGTTGGCTGGCCACACAGCTTGGGCAGCTGGTGATGGAGTTCTTGTTGACAGAGTCCTGAGACAGCACCGGGCACCCACGGCAGAAGAGAGCTCCAAGCAGAGGTGGAGGAAGGGTGGCACGGTGAGCCCCCCACCAGCTTCTGTGTTAACCCTGTCGTGATAAGGGCACATCCCGATCACCCACTCAGCCCACCTTCCAGACACCAGGGGTGGGGTTACTTTACCACCCTCTGAGGACCTCTGACTATGGCTTTGGGTGTTGAAATGCTACGGGAGCTTGGGAGCCAAATACTGGTTCAAACCATAGCATCAGGGTGCCTCATCAGGACACAGCACCTTGATAAACCCAACCCACGCTTCACAGATCAGCCCAGACTGCACTCCTCGGGCCCCTCCACACTTAATTCGTTCGCCCATCACTCGGGATCTTCCGGGTCTCCTATGACTGCTCTTAGGGGCATGACCGGGGCCTGGGGCTGGAACCCGAGGGCCCACACTGTGGCTGATTCCCAGGCAGCCCTTGATCGTGTCTCACAGGTGCTTGGCTGAACGTACGAATAGGCGCAGCCTAAAACCTACCTATGAGAGAGGGCTGGGAGGGACGTAAATCCCAACTCACACCCTCAGCCACGTTTCTCTGTCTCTATTCTGAGCACAGGGGATGATCAGTGCTCGGTGCACACAGTGTGAAGCTGGATGTAATCAAATGTCAAAGCCCAGACGCCTGGGGAGAGGACAGGCCCCGCAGTGCAAGGTTCCTGGCTGCCTTCCTGTGCCAACAGACTCACTGCAAGGCAAGCTGGCAACGCAGTGGTCCTGGCTCAGGTCAGGGGTGAGTGGATGGGCGCCCCAGGGCCCATAGCAGGGCGACGGAGGGCTGTGTTTGCACAGTATCACCCACGTGCCCGGACCTCATATCCCAACCCTCCCCTCCCAGCAGCCCAGAGGTGTCCCCGGTGGCAGGGGGTGCACTTGCAGCCTGACCGGCTTGGTCTCCTCACGGCTCCCGCTCATCCCCAGGCTCAATCTCTGCCTCCTGCTGTCTTCCAGGGAGGCCAAGCTAAGATGCTGCTTTGGTTCTTACCAATCCCACTCCCCTCCTCCTCCTCCTCCACCTCCTCCTCTCCCTCCTCCCCACTGGGCATGTCTACTCCCACAAGCTGGGTGGACATCACTGGAGTCTGAGTCTGAGTTGTTCTGCACACTTGTTCAGGACTTTAAACCCCAAGGCCATAACCTTACAGTAACAAGAGATGGAAACTCAACCCAGTACCGGAGTTTGGGAGGTGGATTCCCCTGGAAGGTGATTCTGGAGAAGACTGTCTAAGTCTGAGTCTGGGCCCAGCCTCCCTTGCCCACTCCCCCTCCCCTCTCCCTCTCCCTTCCCCAGTACCGGAGGTTGGGAGGTGGATTCCCCTGGAAGGTGATTCTGGAGAAGACTGTCTAAGTCTGAGTTTGGGCCAGTCTCCCTTGCCCACTCCCCCGCCCTCTCCTCTCCCCTCCCCTCCCCCTCTCTCCTCCCCTTCCCTCTCCTCTCCCCTCCCCTCACCTCCCCTTCCCTCCCCCTCTCCTCCCCTTCCCTTTCCGCCTCCCCTCCCCATTCCCTTTCCTTCCCCCTTCCCCCCTTTCCCTCCCCTCCCTCTCCCTCTCTCCCCATCCCCTCCCCTCCCTCCCCCCCTCACCATAGGATCCTCCTCTTGCATTCTGCCACCACCATCCCATTCCCCTACCAGATGCCAAAACAAATGGTCCCGACCCCTACCCCCCAGATCCAAACCCGCAAAGCCACGAGCAAGACGCACCTCTCCTATCGAGAAAGGTGGCCACCACAGGTATTCCCAGGACATAATGAAAGGTGGCTCGTACAGCTTCCTGGAGCGTGGTGACTCCCGCGAATCTGCCCCCTCGAGGGCGTGAGTTGTTGTGTACATCAGTCGGTGCTGCCCACCCTGCTCCCCTTCTCAACGCTGGCATCTGTGTTCTCAGGCTGTTCCGGGGGTGCTTATCGCCACTGAGCCCTCACTTCTACCTCTGGGTGGTCAGCCACGGCCCCACCATGGCTCCCTGGCCCACTCCCCTGGGGTGCCTCCAGACATAGCCTTTCTGTGGTCTGGATGTGGTGCGTTCCCACCAAAGCCCACGCCGCACTATGGGGTTGTCAGAGTGTGGGGGACATTTAAGGGTTAATTAAGCCACAGGAACTCCCCCACATGAAGGGATTAACGTGGTCATGAGACAGTGGCTTGATATCCCCTGGTGCCCTTTCTCCCCTCCTCTCTCTCGGCCATGCACCTGCTGGCTACTCTCACACCAGCTCCTGCCATGACGATGTCCTCTGCCGCACTCCGAAGGGGCTGAAGATCCCATGCACCTGCCCCATCCTGAGCTTCTCCGCCTCTGGACGTGTGAGCCAAGCAAGCCTCTTTCCTCTGTACATTACCCAGCCTGTGGTATTTCCTTACAGAAAACGTCCCAAGACAGTGGTAGATCAGCACTGCCCAGTTTCCATGGGGGCTTGGGTGCGAGGGTCTCCCCGGCCCGGACCAGGTGCAGGAGCACCTCGTGCTGCGGTACAGTCAGGCTACAGTCCCCCAACACGCCCAGGCTTCTCCGGCACCAACACAGCAGTGGAAGCTTCTGTCCATACCTCGGCCAGCGCTTGCCGTCTGAGGTTCCGCTCCTCCCGAGGCCTTGGGAGTGAGGGAGCAGCACCACAGCGCCTGTCTGTGGCTTCTGCTCGTTAGCCCTTTGTGAGTCCCCAGTGCTTCCTGGATGTTCACCTAGCCGTGCAGGCCACCTGGCTGCCCATGAG